CTTTTATGCAAATTTCCTTCTCATATCCAAATGCACATTAGGAGAGAGGGGTTCTCCATATTCTGACCCAGCCTTCACAAGTCATTTACTTGTGAATAAAACAACCCCCTCTTTTTATAACAGGGAAGTAACAGTCTTTTATTCACATGGATAAACAAAAAAAATTCCCATAATTAGTCCCGAGAAACCTGGGTTTAGCCAAGAAATCTGAATTGCTTGCTGTATACTAGAAACAAATGGTTGTTTGCGACAACCTGCCACTCCCAAACCCCTTCTATTTATTTCCCAGTCAGGGAGGGGCTGGCTATCATTTGCATCTGCTTCTCCCCGAGAGCCGGTTTGTTGCTTTCCTTTGCTCTCCTCTCTTTTCCACTCTGCGCATATGTGCATCTAGAATGGGTCCCATGTGTTCCTCCCCCTCACTCAGCTCAGGCCCCGAAGACAGCTGCCTCTCCACCTGTGGGAGGACTGAAGGCCCCGGATCTGCCTCTGTCTCTGATGCTGTTTCCTTATCAGAGCCTTCCAAAGGCTCCGAAGCTGGCCCAGGCTCTCCCTCAACCCAGGCCACAACACTCCATAGATATTTTTTTTTATGGTCCCCTTTGCACTTTCCTTGTATGTTCAATTTGCAGAGTGATGGTCTTATCAGTGTATAAGAATTCATGAATTGGACTAGACATGGTAACAGATCAGCCAATGGGGACTGTTTGGTGTCTCAGACTGCTCGGAGCCTGGGCGTGGCTTAGCTTGACTGATTTGTATATAAGAGTTGCTTTGTCCTTGCAATATAGCCTCTGTATTATATAGCTTCTGTGATTATATTGATTCTGTACTTCTGGAGTCTGAGTTCTGGTTCTGGCTTCTGCTGCATGGGTATTGTATACATGCATCATGCTTTTATATTACTGTATATAAAGAAGTTTCTTTTATAAATGAATCCTGCTGAATTCTTTACTTGTGTGCTGGTTGGATTGCTGCAAACTCTAACAGGTCTGTGGTTTGAACTGTTGCTTTTCACAATGCCTTTTTTGGGAGGGAAAAGTTACTGTGTGGCCTCTTTATATATTTATTTATATATTTATTTCTCAAATGCTGGCACTAGCATCACTTTTACTTGGCAAGTCTTTGAAAAGTCTCTGATGATCCCAGCTGAGCCGCGCGATCATCAGAGGCTTTTTTTTTTTTACTTTTAAAAGCATTTTTTCGTCGGAAGAGGTTGTAGAAAAATGTTTTTAAAAGTAAAAAAAAAAAACTCTGATGATCCTGCGGCTCAGCTGGGCATGGTGGGGGCGGGGGCGCAGGGATTTTTGCTACTGGTTCTCCGAACCACCCGCCGCCATCGCTACCGGATCAGGCGATCCAGTCCGAACCGGGACCATTTCACCCGATACAAAGGTCTTCCTTTTGTCATGTCCAGAAGATAAGGCAGGAATATTATCTTTTTGAGGGTTATGTTGGAACCTTGAAGCTAATGAAGCCTGGCTCAGTGGCCTTTGGAACTTCATGCCACAGTAAAGAAAGGAATTGGGTGGGGTGGGATGAGGGCAAACAAGCCAAGAGACAGCTTTGACACAAAATATTTTTTTTAATTATGAATTTTGCAAAGACACGTTTAAGCAACAAAATATACATTTTTACCCTTCTGTAGAATTTTTTTTTATACAGTGACAAATACAAGAGGCTACCATAGCAATAAATTAAATATACATTATGTACAACATACATCATCAGCAACCTGCTATGAAGCATTGCTTCTTAACACAAAGAAAAATACTTCATTTCATCGGAGTCCTAAGTTTTTTTTTTACAAAATCCTAGTTTCACAATTTCATTGAACTCTAGCAACACCAATAATGGGAATATTTTCTCCTCCTGCTCTGTCAAAATGGAGGAGTAAGATATATTCTGGTACTCTCCCCAAAAATTAGCATTTTTCTTAAATTTGTTGCAGTACCATGCTACATTTCTGAAAGCCAAAGAAAACTTTTAATAAAAGGTATCGATGCATGCTTTATGTTTTTCTTTCGGTTCAACAAAAATAAACTTTCTGTTACGGTCTGAGAATTGTTAAGGAGCCTGTTATGAAGAGTGCGATGGCTGAGGTCCTTGCCTTTTTGTAAAATAGTTTGCCCCTCGGACGCTTAAACAAGTCAATGCAGAATCGTCCCTTAAAATCAATCAGTGCAAAATTCTCTGTATGTCTCTAAAGTGGGGGATTTTTTCTTCTTCTTCATAAATTACATCACATATCCAAGCATTTCAGCCTTGGCAGTTTAAGATGCATGGATTTCAACTCCCAGAATTCCACAGCCAGGGAATTCTAGGAGTTGAAGTCCACCCATTTTAAAAGTTGCCAATGTTAAAATGCACTGTCTGTAGAATTAATTGTGTAGGATGTGTGTCTCTGTGTGTGATCTTCTACCATCCCATCACACTGAACATTTCTTTACGAGTTTCTGGTGTTTGATTAGGAGCAAAGCCGTATTCAGGGAAAACCTTCCCTTAAAAATTAGGATGGAGTTGATGCTGCAAATGGCAGGAATCATTATCATTTGTGAGGAAAGCTAGCGAAAACTCAAATTCGACCCACTCAGAATGTTTTTATTTTATTTTAAAAATACAGAAGGACGCACAATTCTACAACACAATGTTATAATTTTTATTCATTCATTCACTCATTCACTCATTCAATCATTTATACCCTGTCTTTATTATTATTATTAATTCCTCCTCCTATTTTCTTCACAACAATCTTGTGTGGTGAGTTGGGCTGAGAGAAAAATGACTGGCCCAAGTCGCCCACTAAGTTTTCATGGGTAAAGCAGGACTTAAATTTGGAGTTTCTAGTCTGGTGCCTTAATTTTATCAACGGTCATAAATGCGAGACTTTTTTTTTTAATTTGCATTTTTTTAAAAATTAACTAAGTAAAAATAGATAACTCCATTTCCAGGACGGCTGCCAAAAACAGAAGCACATTCCAGACATATCTCTCTCAAGGCTGTCTCCCAGGGTTACAACAGTGGCCGGAGGGGAGTGATCTCTACAACCCTCAAAATTGCTCTATTGGCAAATGTGATTGATGACATGCCTGGAGCGGGGGGGGGGGGGGGGGGGGGAACAGAGTCGTGATTGGGCCGTAAATTACATGGGGTCAGAGTTGGCTTCATTTGAAACGTGCCAACATGGATTTCTTTTGAAGCTTGGCTTGAGGCTCAAGATTTAATTGGGGCATCCTTCGGAATCCTGACAGCAAGCCAACCCTGATACCCTTTTTATTTCATGCCCCTCTTTCAAAAAAAATCCACCCCAAAATTTCACCAAAATGGAGATGAAAATTTCAGACCCATTCCCTTCTTTTTTGGTGGCAAAAAAAGCATGTTTTTTTTTAAAAAAGGTGGGGAAGCTGCAAAAAGTTTGCTTGACTCACTTTCTCTGATAAACCTGAAGCTGAGCTGCATTTTCTATTGACTAAAGATCTTGCTTTGTACTTTATAGTTGCCAGACTTTCAATAAATAAACATTATTTATTATGGTTGGTCACACAAGTTAGCCAGATGTTGAGAGGGGATTTGGCATTTTTGTTCATCTATCTATCCGGTCTTTCCCAAGGACTCTGGGATAAGCAGATGTTAATAATATGAAAGCTATTCCAGCAAGTGGCATTTCCCTCTTCTTGAATGAAAAACAGGGCCATCTGTTTGATAGATTGAAAGTCTGCTTGTCCTGATTGTTTTTATTAGCTGTGTTCTCTTGAAAAAGAGCAAACTCTTCATTCCCCTCCCTTTTTTAAAAAAGACGATTCTGTTGATGAAATCCAACTGAGAAAATGCAGTTTTGAAATAAAGGATGAGGAAGGAATTAAAAGATAAATTAAAAAAATAAAGGCATGGACTCAGAAGATAAGCTATTTTAAATAAAGCTGCTTTTTTGCAACTTATTAATATGGTTGATTACACCATCAGCCAGACTGGCGTTCTTGTCAAATTATCAAACCTTTCCAAAAAGACCTGGGATAGGCAGTCACTGTTGTTTGATGATATTAAAGATATGGCTGTAGGATGTAAGCTGTTCCAAGTAAAGCTGCCTTTTGCAATTGACTGATGGTGATTTGTGTCATTTATTATTATACACACAGCCGTTCTTTAGTTGCTGTTGCTCTTTACAGGCACCAAGGTCTTCCGAAGAATCTAGAATGTCATAATATTTTGGTGTACGATAAGTGTGGATCAAAACAGTGTGGCCTTTTGTCAATCGACAGATGGAAATTTGGCGATGCACAGATTTTCTAAGTGCTGTCCAAGATTTGTTGGTATGGCACCCAGTGTGCCAATAATCACTGGGACTACCGCGACCGGTTTATGTCATAATCTTTCAACTTGGATATTTTAGATCTTGCTCACTGCGATCTTCTCCAATTGTTTTTGTCTTCTACTCATCCCATTATTGCCACATCAATCAGCCAGATGTTCAGACTGGGTTTGGCATTTTTATCCGCTTATTGAAGTCCTTCCCAAGGACCTGGGATAGGTAGATGTGGAAGTTTGATTGTATTAAAGGTATTGTCGTAGGGTGTAAGCTGCTTGAAATGTGTCTGAATATTAGTAGCTCGGGTTGGTAGTTAGGCTGTTGGTTTGAGCTCTGAGCTTGACAATTTGGTTGCAAATGTTTCATCACCATTTGAGGCGATATTGTCGGTGCGTTGTGAATTGTGCTTGTCTGTCAGAACACAGGTCTTCAAATACCTTTTTATGAGATGCGAATTAGTCTGAATGTTGTTTTTTCCGATATTTCTGAGTCATGGTGTGATTTTGGCTGGCTGTTGTTACTGGGCTGTAATCAAGTGCCATCTTTGTGATGCAGATTAGCATTGGATGTAAGCTGTTTAGGTTACATTAGAATAGAATAGAATAGAATAGAATAGAATAGAATAGAATAGAATAAGAATAGAATAGAATAGAATAGAATAGAATAGAATAGAATAGAATAGAAAATAAACAGAACAGAACAGAATAGAATAGAATTTTTATTGGCCAAGCGTGGTTGGACACACAAGGAATTTGTCTTGGTGCAAATGCTCTCAGTGTGCATAAAAAGAAAAGATTAGGATGTAAACTGTTCCCAGTAAAGCTGCCTTTTGCAATTGACCGATGGTGATTTTGTCAGGGCCGAAGGTTTTCAAGTGGTGCTCCAGTTGCTGTATTTATTGGTTTGGCTTTCAGATTTGGAGACATTGCTGAGACACAAGACCTCTGAATGGATGCCAAGCCAAATCAAGCTATTTTTTCCAAACTGTCCAAGCGGGGCCTGACCTGAATCTAATGGACAATGTGCAACATAAAATGACCAAAAAACAACATCAAAAACCCTCTTAAGAACAACTGCGCCAGCAAGCTTCCAGCGGTGAAGGCACATTTTGATTCACGACTGCAGGGAGACAAATTTTTGCAGGTTCAGCTTATAAAGCTGTAAGGATGGCCTCCAATGTAAGAAGCCAACAGGAAAAAATTTTAGCAGTGGGACCATCAGAAAAGAAGGAGAAGCAAGCGGAGTTTTGCTGGCAGCATGAAAACCCTATTATAGGTGTGTCGTGACGTTGCACAGATGCACAAAAGGGCCTCGGAGTATTTCTCGATCTGCAAGGATAGCATCAGAGGTTTTTGCAGTCCAAATCACAGCAGCAGAATTCCTGTTCCTCTTCCATATCCAAAACTAATTGGCCTTTGGGCAAAAGAAGTTATCAATCCCAGGGATGCCGAACTTCATTCCTTCTTTGTGTCTGATTTTTTCCCCCAACTCTTTCCTCTAACACGGTGCTTCCCAAACTTTTTATTTCATTATCCCAAAACACTTAGCAGAAACTAGGAAGGAGTGGGGTTTGCTCTTATTTTAATATAGTAACCGCTTGCCCCAGAGGTGGGTTTCAAAATTTTTTACTACCGGTTCTGTGGGCGTGGCTTGGTGTGCGTGGCTTGGCGGGCTTGGCAGGGGAAGGATACTGTAAAATCTCCATTCCCACCCCACTCCAGGGGAAGGATACTGCAGAATCCCCATTTCCTCCTGATCAGCTGGGACTCAGGAGGCTGAGAATAGATGGGGGCAGGGCCAGTCAGAATTTTTACTATAGGTTCTCCAAACTACTCAAAATTTCACTACCGGTTCTCCAGAACTGGTCAGAACCTGCTGAAACCCACCTCTGGCTTGCCCTGGCCCTACACTGACAGGGCAGGACACAGCTATAGAAAAATAAGAGCAAATCCCACTCTCTCCTAGCCCTGATGATGTTACCAAGTTGGGTAATGAAATGTCTGCAAGAAAACCACCAAGCTCAAAAATCTCTTCCTTTCTCTGTCTCTGGATTTAACTAGCTTTCAGGGAGACTGCAAACCAGTGAGAACTATATAGACAAAGACCAAATCTTCACAGCAGTGGTGGGATTCAACCGGTTTAACAACTGGTTGGCTGGGTGCATGCAGTGCATTTGAAAAATGCTCTAAAACATGCCTTCTATTTCAACTGTAAAACAGCTGAAGAGCGGCAATCTGCTCTACCACGCCGATCAGCTGGGCTTCAAACACAGGAAATATAGGTCAGTATAGCGCAGGGGCGGGCCCACCTGATTGTTGGAGCGAACCGGTTCGCTCGCAGTTCTTTGTTGGAGCTACCGGTACATCCGAACCGATACGAACTGGCAGAATCCCACCCCTGGTTCACAGGCACTATTGTGGCTACCTATACGTAAGATATGGACATGTCCGTTCCACTCCACCCTTCTGATATCCATTAACACTTTCTTGAATAAGCAAAAAAAAACCAAATGTCATTTCTTTTCCATCACATGGAAGCAGAAATGCTCAAAAGGCAGAAGAGCATTCTTGGCTCAGCACCAACTTCATGTGGAAAATCTTACATCAATAACAGCATAAGAAAAAAGAAAAGGTCACTTAAATCCAGGGGACGGGGGCCTTAATTAGGTAAGAAATTAGTCACAAAACAGCAAAGTATTGTGATGATCAGGGGTGTCAAACTCAAGGCCGACGGGCTACATCCGGCCCGTGATCTAGTTGGATCTGGTCTATCCAATGTGAAGAAGAAAGATAGGGCCAGAGTGGTTTCGGCCCGGTCTACCCAATGCAAAGAGGAAACATGCCAGCAGTTTGGGGAGTGGTGTCAAACTAGCCACACCCAACCAGTTGGCCACACCCACCGTCGGCCACACACCCTCGGCCTCCCTGGGTTCAATCACAGCCCTGATGCGGCCCTCAATAAAATTGAGTTTGACACCCCTGGTGATGATGATTATGACGACAAGAGGGTATGCATGGTGGGGTTTGTTGCACATCAGCAAGATGTTTAGGCTGGATTTGGCATTTGTATCCACCTATCAAGCCCTTCCCAGGGATCTGAAATAGGTGTTGATATTATTATTATTATTATTATTATTATTATTATTATTATTATTATTATTATTTCTGACATCTAAAGATTTACACCAAAAGCAGCACTCAGGATCTCAAGCTCAACAGCACAATGTTACCAATCCGTTGATCGACCAAGGGGAAAAAAGACAGAAGCCCATTCAGTTCTACAGTATGTGGTATGCAATTTGGGTCCTCCTTGGGACATCCTTCCACTCCAGAGGGATAAAGCATGGATGATTGCCATGGAAGAGATCTCTTCTTTCCTGGTTTTATGGAATGATCTGCTCGGATGAAGGGCAATCCATAGGTGGCTACGGAGCTTGGTGTGGTGGAGGGGTGCTCTCATTTGAAACAAACGGTCCTCCCTCCCACCCTGTTTAAAATGAGACAAACACAACAAAAAAACGTCCTGCAAAAAGATGGGAGAAGAAAAAAAAAAAGAAATAAAGCTTGGAGGTCATCCATACCTACATCAAGAATAGCCTTCTATAATTCTTAACAACACATTTAGAGAGAGGCTTTGAGAGTCATTAGCTAACATGGCTTTTCAAATTGTAGTAGTAGCTGTAGTACTTTATTGTCATTGCACCTCGTACAACGAAATTAAATGCCATCTTCAGTGTACATTATATATAAAAAAAACTATAAAAAATAAAACAGAAACACACATCCTTCACATTCTATACAATTGAATTGAAAACCCCTAATATTGCATTAATATTGCACTATACAGTAGAATTCAATTATTGCTTGGGGATAGCTGTTTTTCAGCCTATTTGTCCTTGTTTTTATTATCCTCTACTGCTTGCCAGATTATAATAGTTCAAAAAAAAAAAAGGGGGTCCCAGGATGAGCTGGATCTTTAAGAATGTTTTGAACTTTATTAAGGCAGCGGGAGCTAGAAAGCTCTTCCAAAAGGGGGAGAGGGCAATCAATGATCCTCTGAGCAATGACGTTGACCCTCTGGAGTGTTGTCCTATCTGCCACTGTGCAATTGGCAAACCAGACACAGGTGTAGTAAGTTAAAATACTCTCTATGATGCAGCGGTAGAAGGTCACCAGCAGTTTCTCATTCAGTTGTTGTTTCCTGAGAAGCCTCAGGTAGTATAATCTCTGCTGGGCCCTTTTGACCAATGCTGCAATGTGAGCGCCCCAGGTCAGGTCCTCTTTTATGATAACACCCAGAAACTTAAAACTGGCCACTTGCTCCACTTGGTCTCCATTGATAGCCAAGGGCTGGATATCTGATCTGTTCCTTCTGTGGTCCACTATAAGCTCCTTGGTCTTATTGGTGTTAAGGACCAAGTTATTGTCTCCAAACCATGAAAGCAACCAGTCCACCTCATCTCGATAGGTAGACTCATTCTCCTCCCCCCGGAGATGAGTCCCACCACTGTTGTATCATCTGCAAATAGGCTCTGTTAATGGAACTCACTGCCACAACGAATTTGGAGGACTTTTATTTTGAAGGGCTTTGAAACCCTGGTTAGTTAAATACAGATATCCCAAAGGTGCTTTTTTCAGGAGGCAACTGTGTCGTGGAGTAAATAAATCAATGTACCGTAAAACCTTCTATTCTATTAAGATCTACTTTAACAAATGAGCCTCTGAAGCAACGTTTCGACAAAGTCTCATTCATCATCTTCAGGCTGGTGTCTTCGGCTTCGTGCTTCTAGGAGCAATGTGTGTGATCACAGATGTGTGTGCTCCTAGAAGCACGAAGCCGAAGACACCAGCCTGAAGATGACGAATGAGACTTCATCGAAACGTTGCCAAGAAACCTCCAATTTTACGCGGGAGAAAACCCGAATAACCAAAGACCTACATACAAACACCCGCGAAAACCTCAGAAAACATATATATATATATATATATATATATTCTCAGGTTTTCGCGGGAGAAGACCCGAATAACCAAAGACCTACATACAAACACCCGCGAAAACCTCAGAAAACAGGGAAGAAGACGAATAAGTGCATGCATAGAAGAACACAAGAACTCAGTCAGAAAAGAGGAACCAACTTCTTCCCTGGTCCAACACCTTAAAGCCACAGGACATGATATTGACTTTAAAAAGACCAGAACTATCGCCAAAACTGAACACTTTAACAACAGAATAATCAGAGAAGCCATCGAGATAGAAAAACGCCCACACAGCATGAACAAACGAGACGATACCTCCCGCCTACCAGCCATTTGGAAACCCGCCCTTATTGACAAACGAGTCCCTAACACGACGAATGACACCAGACCCACACTCACGAGTGCCACACCTGATGTCACCACCACACATCCACGCAGAAAGCAGACTCAAACCCACACTGATAATGAGCCACGACCAAGGACCAGAAGCCAGACCGCAGCTGCATCATTAGCCACTTTAAACCCCTCCAATCCATACATGAAGCAGACTGACACCCACCATGAAGAGCTCGCACGGCCACAAACAAGAAGCCAAACAACAACAACGCAGCTCACCAGCTCAAATCCCCCTGCAACTCAGACTAAGGGGAGCACAACCAAGCCCCCACCCAAACAGAACACAACCCCAGCCAATCAGAGCACAGCCAAGCCCCTAACCAATCAGAACACACCTCCACCCAATCAGAACACAGCCAAGTTCCCACCCAATCAGCTCACACCTCCACTAGCAGTTAAAAGGAAGAGACAGCTGCGATCTCACATTGCTCCTGGAAGCACGAAGCCGAGAACACCAGCCTGAAGATGACGAATGAGACTTCGTCGAAACGTCGCCAAGACACTTCCAATTTTACGTGGGAGAAGACCCGAATAACCAAAGACCTACATACAAACACCCGCGAAAACCTGAGAAAACATCTGGCTATTCTTCCTCAGAAGAAAGATTCTTGTAAACCATCAGAACTGCATCAGAACTGCCCTTCTAACTGACTTCCAAACTGCCCACAGTTTTCTAACAGAAGAGCTGAACAGAACTCTACAAACTGCCAACTGCCTTCTGGACTGCCTTCTGAACTGCCTTCTGGACTGCTGTCAAGAATCTCCTTTTATACTGTCAACTGTGACAGTTAGGGGAGGGAACATAAAAGCCCTGGAGATTCAAACCCATCAGTTGCCTTCTGATTGGCTCACCCACTTGTCCATTCCAAAAGCCATTAATAGGCACAGCAATTGAGAAATAACTTTTCTCTCACAAACTGGACTTTCTTGTTTTTTCTTTGAGGACATTTCACTTCTCATCCAAGAAGCTTCTTCAGCTCTGACAGGATAGTGGGGAATGGAAGGATTTATATTCCTTGCAAACAGCTGGTCATTTACATCATTTTAGAAGGTCACTAAAACACTTGGAGGTTTATCTATGTCCTCTTCAAAGAAGAAAAAACAAGTAAGTCCAGTTGCCTCCTGAAAAAAGCACCTTTGGGACAACCATGATCTGGATGACTGAGAATCTCTACAGCTTTTTAAATACAAATAGTCATTAGTGGCGATTTGAAGTTACAACAGACACATACACCCATACCCAAAAATAGAACTTACGACACAGATTTGAAATCCAATGACCAGGTTTCCCCTCCCCCCCCTTCTTGGACCTGTAAGTCCAATGACCACCACCTGCTGAAATTCTTGGCAGCAAAATAGCAACTTAAAAAAAAAAATGAAATTGTCACGGCATTGACATTTGCCAGTTTGTGGCTGAATCCAACTATGGAACAGCTGTGTGCAAGACCAGCATTTGATGTATTTGGTGGGGGTTTTTTTTTTTTTTTAAATCAACTCAGCCAAATGTGTTGGGAGAAAAAAAATGGGTCAAGTATTCAAATCCTGCCACTTTAGTGAGATCATTGCATAATTGTGCTCATGGAGGGGTGACCAAAAAAGGCCAAAACGAGGACAGTCACAATTTTGTGATTAAAGCCGTTCTCCTCTTGACTAGGTGAGTTTGCTTTTTTTTTTTTTTTGACTGCAACTGATCATTGTACTGTTTGCAACTCTCAAAGGCCCATAATAATCATAATAAAAATTGTTGTACCCACTAAAAAAGTACCCTGTCTACCATTATTGTCGTCAATACTTGGCATTAAAAATTATTATAAACCCTGGGCTAAATATAAGTTACCTTTTACAGGTCCTTAGGGGGGGGTCATTCTTCAGCTAATGTGTCTGCGAACAAAGGAAACGTGTTCTGTTAAATATATAAGCATTTTTACAACCTCCTCTGACCTTCTACATCAGCCAGACGCCAATGCCTATAATCCCCTGCCTTTTCTAACACACATCCAGGCACAACAATAACTACGAATCAGTGGTGGATTGCTCCTGGTTCTGTCTGGTTCTTGAGAACCGGTAGTAAAAGTGGTGGGAGGCTCCTCTTACCTGCCCGGACGTCATAAGGTATGATCTGCACATGTGCAGAAGCTTCCGTTGCAAACCGGTAGTAAAGGTAAGTAGAACCCACCCCTGCTACAAATCCTTTATTGCAGCCTTGTTTCTTTCTAAGTTCTTTTCTAAGGTTCTTTTAAATCAGTTCACCATCAGTGCTAGAATAGAACAAGCAGCTCAGTGATGGGTTTCAAAATTTTTTACTGCCGGTTCTGTGGTCGTGGCTTGGTGGGCATCGCAGAGGAAGGATACTGTAAAATCTCCATTCCCTCCCTAATCCAGGAGAAGGTTACTGCAAAATCCCCATTTCCTCCCAATCAGCTGGGACTTGGGAGGCAGAGAATAGATGGGGGCGGGGCCAGTCAGAGGTGGTATTTACCGGTTCTCCGAACTACTCAAAATTTCTGCTACCGGTTCTCCAGAACTGGTCAGAACCTGCTGAAACCCACCTCTGAAGCAGCTATAGCTCTTGCATTATAAATACTTCAAAACCTTCCCCATTACTCTGTTTCTTTCCATGAATTTCTTACTTTTCCCTCGGCTTAAAAATTAAACCAAAGGAATGAATGGTATAAATGGCTAGAGGATAGGTGCAAAAGTTAAGGAAAAAATCAAAGAAAGAAGACTTAGGAGTTAGAAAATAGTAACAAATCTGTATAAATAGATATGACACAAAATGTATGATTATAAGTTAGTATATTAATATGTTAATATGTATAAAAGATAATGGAACCGCATGTATAGATATATAGATGTAAGGGGGGAAAATGGATATATAGTGGATGTATACTGATGTGGAAATGTTGCAAAGAAGAAAATTGTCAAAGCTTTTAAAAAACTGTTCAATATATATTTTTTTAAAATTAAACCAAAAAGGACTCGGGTGACAATCATTTGAGATATCATTTGAGATCGTTCATGAGATCCAAACTGGAAAAGATGCTTTGGAGAGGAACAGGTGAGCCCTGATTGCATCTATTCAGGTGTCCTTAAAGAAGCAATGACTTTTTTTCTGAGTTTAAACAGTTGCCACATGGTCCCAAAAAAAACATCTTTGAGTTAAGGAAATATTCAATCGGCTCCTCTTTAACTTAATGCATATTTCCCAGGCACCATGCAGCTACTATGTCAATCCTGGAAAAGGTAAAACTTCTTTAACCAAAGAAGAATTGTATCTCACTAAATTCAACCACAGGTCACCAATACACACTGGAGTCAGATGTTAAGCATTTGAAAGTCAAGATGTCAGAAAGGGCAGGAAGCTTCTGCTAATTGGGGGCCACCACTCCAAAGGCCATGCTGATCTCCCTTTTTTGCTTGCAAATGTAAGAAAACGAATTCCTGTCTTGATTTAAGGGAAGGCAGTTACCATATTTTTCGGAGTATAAGATGCTCCGGACTATAAGACGCACCTGCCTTTTTTGGTGAGGAAAACAAGAAAAATAAATCTGCCTCTGCTTTCCAGCAATTTTGCCTTGTTGCAGCAAACAGCCTGCTTTACTTTCATTTTCATTTTCAGCATAGCTTGATTAGCACAAGGGAAAAAAAAATCTGCTCCAGCAATTTACCTCCTTGCAGCAAGCAGCAGAGGCCCGCGCAAAACAGCGGGAGACCGATCCAATCAACTTGTGCTAATTAGGCTGTGCTGAAGCTGAAAGGAGCTGTTTCTTCTTGCCGCTTGCTGCAAGGAAGTAAACTGCTGGGAGGCAGAGGCCAAAGGGTGGGGGCCAGTGGGTGGGCGGCGCTACATTCGGTGGATAAGACGCACCTAAATTTTCACCCCCTTTTAGGGAGGAAAAAGGTACGTCTTATACTCCGAAAAATACGGTATGTTCATCTTTACTTACCGGGCCAGAGCTTGAATGGCTAAGTTTATCAAAGCGAAATTTTAGATTTGATCTTGGAGAATTTCTGCTTTTTATATCTGCTGGAACAATACCAAAACAAACAAACAAACAAAAACCCAAATCAGTTTCTTTCTAATTATTTATTTGGAAGATTCAGAACCGATATCAATTAAAGCAACGGAATGAAAATCCCAGCAATGATTAAGAATTCACATTTCATGACAATACCAATATTTACACATATGCCATGTCATCTCTCTCTCTCTCTCACACACACACACACACACCCCTCAGGTGTCACTGGACTTGGTTAATATTTAAATGGATGACCACCATGAAAATCTCAGCGCAACTGACTAGACTACAAAGTTCCTATTCCAAAAGACAAAACTAAACCCTACTTGAGGGTCATCTTCACCAGCAACGTCATGCAAAGCCCATCCAGATAGGGTTTAGTCAAACTCACCAGTGGGGCTCCTGCTCATGATAACAGGGGTTGAGGCTGATGCTAAATTTGGATTCTCGATGCTTTGGGAAGGACTGTAAACAAATACATCTTGCTTATATGGTGATGCAGTTGAGGACTGGCTGCCCTGTGAATTAAAGAAAAGTGTTGCTATTATTTAGTTTTGTACACAACCCTTTCTCCTAAGGGAGTCCAGAATACATTTTGTGCAGAATACAGTTTTCAAAAAATAAAATAAAAACAAAAACAAAACCAGTGAAAATAATATTTGTCTCTTTAAAGATAAATCAGCTAAATGTTGGAAATGTCACCAGTTACCAAGATCTTATTATCATATGTGGTGGACATGCCCAGAAGCTAAAAACTATCAGAACAAAATTAAGACATGGTTAGAAGAAATGACACAACAACATACTGATTTAAAACCGGAGCTGTTCCTATTGGGTATCCTCCCAGAAAAAATTAGTAAAGAAAATATTTATTTGATTATACATGTAATAACAGCTGCAAGGATTGTTTTTGCACAAAATTGGAAAGTAGAGAAAATAGCTTTGGAAGGAGAAGTAATTAAAAAAATTAGATTGTGCAGAAATGAATAGATTAACTTTGATGATTAAAGAAAGAGAGGATTCAGAATATTTTAAGATATGGGATCAATTTTACCATTGGTTAGAAAAGAGATATAGATAAGCAAACTAATAGTTATGTAAGAAAATGGTATAATTAAAATACTGTACTTTTAGAAAAATGGATAATAGATTAAGTGAAAATGAAGAGAGAAGAAACAACAAAAAGAAGAAGTCATGGAGAAAACACCGAAATGTCACATGGAAGAAATGATTGTTTGTGTATAAAATATAAAAAAATTCAAAATAATAATAATAATAATAATAATAATAATATTTGTCTCTATAGTGATCGCACATTCCTTCCCTTGATGTTAAAACCAATCTCTTGACATAACAGGGAAGAAGGAGGGAGTAGAGAAGGTATTCAACCGGTTCAGACCGGTTCACCCAAACCGGTAGCAGAGATTGAGGGTAGGCCCGCCCACCAACCTGCCTAGACTCTATGCCATCCTATTTAGGCACATTTTAGAGGCTAGGCGCATGCGCGGAAGGTGCACACGCAAGTAAAGTGCATGTACAAAAGGCCAGTCGCATGCATGGAAGGCAGGCACACACATGAACCAGGCGCATTTGTGCACAAAGCGAGCATGCGCACACGGGGCAAACCAGTAGTAACATATTGTGAAACCCACCACTGGAAGGAAGGAAGGAAGGAAGGAAGGAAGGAAGGAGGGAAGGTTAATGTTGCCATTTCTTAGCTCACTGCATTGTAAATTGCTGTGACCTTTTAAGATTCAGGGGTACAGTATATATAAGCATAGTAAAAGGAAAGAATGGCCCTTTTAATAAAGTAAATATAATAGCGTCATTAAGGTGAGAACACTGTACTGTAATTTACACCAAAATAACTTATACCTGTTTGAATAAAATTGCTATTGTTTAGAAAGAGCTCTGAGTAAATAAATGACTGTGGGAAAGACAGACTAGATCCATTATCAAAGCTATGAGAAGAAAAACATGATTTAAGCCTAAACAAGCAGAAAGGATGTGTAAGTTGCTCAGGTAGACACCTCCCTAATTCACGCATGTATAAGAAGGGGAGGGGGAGTAAAACATCCTCAGGCTTGCAAGATTATGTTCTTGTAGCCACTCTCAATGAAGTAGCCTTAACTTTCCTATGGAGTTATTCTAGTCAGGGTTTCCAAATTTGACAACTTTAAGACTTGTGGACTTCAACTTCCAGACTTCCTCAGTCAGCCAATTCCCAGAATTCCACAGGTACTCATGCTGGCTGAGGGATTCTGGGAGTTGAAGTCCACAAGTCTTAAAGTTGCCAAGTTTTGGAGCCACCTGTCCTAGTTCTACCTGGTGGGGTTGACAATCATAAGAGGAAACAGGAGTTATGAAGCTGTGCTGATGGCAGCTGAGGAGAAAGATACTAATTTTTAAAATACATAATGTTTAAATGAGTTTTGTTTGGTTCAGTAGCTTTTGCCACCTCAGATCAATCAAGAGCAGAGAGCAGAAGTGGTCTTACCAGGCTTTCGTATTCTTCCATATTTTCACTCTCTCCTGCAGTGCTGCTGAAGCTGCTGGTACTTGAGGAGGAACGGGAAATATTTGACTTTCCATTCTCTTTGAGTTTAATGAAAGGCCTGGCAGGAAGTGAGAAAGAAATAGAAAGTCCCCTATCTAATCAACAGAACTTTGGATGACAAGCAAAAAAATAAAAAAGCCAATAAAACACTCAGAATCAACTGAGGGAAAAAAATGTTGAGGGCTTGTTTAAAAAAATGGTTGCCGAGATAGCAAACACACAGGGGTGGGATTCTACCGGTTCAGGCGAACCGGTAGCTCCGACAATCAGCTGGTAGCCAACCGGTTCACTCCGACAATCAGCTGGGCCCGCCAACCCACCCCCGCTCTTTACTTACCTTTATCTTCGCAGCTGATTAGCATAGCAATTGCCATGCCTCAGTTGTTTTAATTCCCTAGCACTAACGCTGAAGGTGATTTTTTCTTGAACTGTGCACGCACGCATGCATGCACACGCGAAGTGCGCGATCACCAAACCGGTTATTAAACCGGAAGGATCCCACCACTGCAAATACACATATGTTAGGATTCCCCAGCATCCCAATCTCAATGTGTGAAAGAAAACCCAGGTCTTCATGGTGTTTTAGAAGGTTAAGGATGTCAAGACCATGCAAAGACCAACATAGGAAAAGGACCATCTTCCTCTTATTCCACAAAAAAAAAAAAAAAACCAAGAAAACAATCCCACAGCTAAATTATACCCAGATTGGAAAAGAAAGGATAATTTGCAGAAAAGACATCAACTACAAGTTGACATCATTTGTATAATTTGCCCCTTTGTTCCTCCAACCCTGAAGTCAATAGATGACTCCAACAAACCCATGATGTATCCCAAGAATCAGCAAAGTCTCCTCCGCTCCACCATTTGCTTCCATCATGTTTGAGTTCCATTAATTCCTGAAAACTTTAGTGGTGGGTTGTCCCACGTGTGAAATGGTGAGTCCGCAGCTTTTAGTGGATGTCACTAACCCAAATCCCGGAAAATCATGACTCCATTTGAATGCCATTAACCAATGAGTTTAAAATTGCACCTTGCTTTTACCTCTCTTTGTTGGGACAGATTTCTGGAGAGCTTGGGTTCGAGGAAGCCTCTGACTTCATATCAAGGGAGGAATGCCCTCCATCGGGAGTCTTGGGTGTTCCTGAGCCACTGTCACTGTGGAGAAAGAGACCAACAGGAGAGAATCAGAGCAGCTCACAGCAACTTACAGACCATCCAAAAGAGACAATTAAAAAAAAAAAACCAAGAAGGAAACAAGACTACAACACATCTTCTCCAGATAAACGGGGATTAACACCAGACAAGCAATCAAGCAGAAAATTATACCCTAATGAAGGAATTACCAAGGAGAAACCCACATCCCCACCAAAACTGGCAGGGCAAGCTAATAAACCCCCTACTCACTAGCACTGATGATGTTACCTAGTTGGGTCATAAAACTGCAAGCAAGCAGCCAAGCTTAGAGAGCACCAGAGAGACCACAGAATAAAGGGAATTAGTGTAGCTACCATCATCGCAATTATCAGGTTTAGTATAAAACAACCCAGTGAAAGAAGATAAACTGTAAGAGTGACTAACAGAGGTTTTGTCATTACAAACAGTGGTTTATATATAAGACTTCTATATATATACATACACGTGGTAAGCACATACCAGGCAAGCAATCAATCTTCAACTCTACACGGAGAACTACAATGCAGATAGAATACAGCGAAGAGAGTAATACACGAGGAGAGAGACGCCCTCTAATGGCCTCCCTTATATAGATAGCTTCTTAAAGTGGCAGTAACCCTGCTGACTCATTCTCATTTCATCAGCTTTAAATCTGCGTTCCACTGACAATCTATTTCAAGCCTCATATTCAAGACACCAATATCCTGTGGTCCCAGTTTTCAAACTGTGATATAGGAAGAGGATGATTTAGAGGCTCCTCAAAGGGAAAGTTATAGGAGAATCTTTCTTTTCCACATTGCAAATTGATACAACAAATCTAGGACAATCCAGATGATGAGTCTCTCCAGGCGCCAGCCAAAGCTAGGAACCAGAGACTACAAAATCCAGGAGCTGATTATATGAAAAGGAAGAGAGGCACACTTTTTCTTCTTCTGTTTTTTTTTCTTTGTCTTTCAGAAGGCAAAGAAGTATGATATTTCTGAAGAAAATGAGGACAGATATTTTTTTTCTTTTAAAAACCTTGGAGTAGGGAGAGAAATTAAAAAGTAAAATAGACCTGGTGACTGCATCTTTTTCTCCAATGGAATAGTGCCTTGTCATCCAGTTTTGGCTTTGCCGTTATTGGTTGGGAACCTGCAGAGAGGTTTAAAAGTCTGCAGACATTCTCCGTCATCCAGGTCATGGTTGTCCCAAAGGTGCTTTTTCAGGAGGCAACTGGACTTTTTTGTTTTCTCTTTTGAAGACGTTTCGCTTCTCATCCAAGAAGCGTCTTCAGCTCTGACTGGATGGTGGGGAATGGAAGGATTTAAACTCCTTACAGACAGCTGCTCACTTGAATCCTTTTAGAGGGTCACTGAAGCACTTGGAGGTTTATCTGTGTCCTCAGGGTACACCTGAGTGGTGCTCCTGGTTCCTGTAGTTTGCAATTTTACCTCTGGAAATCCATTCCTACTCCCATTCCTACTCCTTGTTCTGCAAGGAGCATAAATCCTTCCATTCCCCACTAACGCTGAACTTTGATAGGCCTATCCTCATGAATCATGTCCTTTATCTATTCCTCCTTTAATTCACTCCAGGTTAGTAGCCATCACATCTTGTGTCAATGAATTCTAGACATTTATCAATTTCCTGTTTTAAATCTCCTGATCAACTTCACTGGAAAACCCTTGTCTTAGACTTTGGCAGGAAGGAGAATTTTATCCTTATCCATCTTCAGTATGTCATACAGGATTCCTTACGACACAATCATGTTTCCCCCACCCACCCCCGAAGCTGCCATTTCTCTAGCTAAAGCATTCCAGAGGCCCCCAGTTCAAGGCACCACATGCATAAACACGTAGTTATGGAATTACCATCGGCTCCGAGGTTCTGCTTGGCTTTCGGATCCAGTGTGCAAACGAGGGAATAAGCCCGATCTCCTCTTTATAGGACTCCTTGATTGATTCTTGGCTGTTGCTGCTGCTAATGGAGGCTGAAAAAAGAAATAATTGATCCCAAGTTCTGGGCAAACATTCTTAGCAATCATTTACTGTATTTTTCGGACTATAAGACACACCTAATTATCAGATGCACCTAAATTTAGAAGAGGAAAACAATAAAAAAAAAAATTTGGCCTCCCTTTTTTTGGCCCTTTTCCAGCCTTTTTCCAGCCTTTTTTTAGCCCATTTTTGAGGCTTTTTCATCCTGTTTTTTCCAACAAAACGGGCCAAAAGAAGCCTCGAAAATGGGTTGAAAAAAGCCTCAAAAATGGCCTCTTTCTTCTTATAATTCAATGTCACCTTTCAGTCTGTAAGCACCTTGAGGCAGAGATCATATTGTGTTTATGTATACAGAAAGAGAAAGCATGTGGAGAATTCATGGAGTTGAGCAATCAAGATTTAAAACAAAGAAAGAAGTAGCGTTTGAAATGTTACAGGTCAAAGCCAATCAATGCTAGGCAAAGCCATTTTATTTTTGGCCCAAATTCACAGAATTCACCTTCCCCAAGGATGGGCTGCTGGGGGTTCGGAGGAGTCTGGGAGAACCTCTAGCTAAGATTCTGTGCAGTTCGGAGAACCCCCAAATTCCACTCCTGGCTGACCACGCCCACCCCTCCCCTCCCAGGAGTCCCCACACGGCCCGTTTTGGATCAAATAAGTGCAGTGTGCGCCCAGAAGCTCAGGGAGGGCGAAAAATGGGCCTACCAGAGGTTTGGGCCCATTTCTGGCCTCCAGAGCCTAAGGAGGCTGTTTTTGCCCTCCTGGAGGCTCGAGAAAAGCCTTTGGAGCCCGGGGAGGGCAAAAAGCACCCCCCCATGGTGCAGGAGGCTGACTAGGCCACGCCCACCATGGCCACGCCCATCTAGCAACTGGGCAGAGAACCCCTTGCTAAAATTTTTGAAGCCCACCCCGATCTTCCCCTTCTTCAATCTATGAGAAGGCTAATGAAGTTGGGATGCTTTCGGGGAGCAAAGATCCCTTCTTTTAAAGGTAAAGATAAAGGTTTCCTCTATCCAGCTGAGTCTGACTATAGGGGGATGGTGTTGATCTCCATTTCCTGGCCAAGGGAGCCAGCATTGTCCAAAGACACTTCCGTAGTCATATGGTGAGCATTGACTATATGCCAAGGTGCATGGAACACTGTTATCTTCCCACTGAAGTGGTACCTATTTATCTACTTGCATTTGCATGCTTTCGAGCAGGAGCAGGAGCAAGGACGGGAGCTCATCCATCAAGCAGCGCTGGGATCTCGAACTGCCAACCATCCGGTCAACAAGCCCAGCATCTCAACTGCTAGACTATTGAGAGAGGTACCAAAGTGATACCTATTTATCTACTTGCATTTGCATGCTTTCAAACTTCTAAGTTGCCAAGAGATGGGGTAAGTAACAAGAGCTCACCCCACCACTCAACGCTTGGGTCTCGAACCCAGGGTGTCAGCTTCAGCTCAATGTCTTTGACTGCTGAGCCATCGTGTCCTCTTCCCTTCTTTTGCACTTAGCTAAATCGTTCGAAATTGCATGGCACTTACAGAGAAGGTGGTCTTGGTTATTTCAACACTGTTGTGCACAATCCCACCACTCAAGCTCCCAGGGATTCCTCCAGGCTGGTGCTTCTTCTGGCTTCCTACCATGGTTTCCATGGAGTGGCTGCGGACGCGGATCGCTCTCTATCAGATGAAATAAGAGGAAGGTCAAGATGAGGACAACAAGTTTGGACATTGTTGTGTTATTTATACCCAAGCATAGCTGGACAAAGCAGTTATGTCTGAATGAGATCCTAAATAAAAGGCGCCATCCATACAGAAGAAGGCAGGATTAGGAAAACATTTTTCAATTTGAAGGAGACTATGATTGGATATTTGCATCCCAAAATAAGACCTCTCCATACTGTGACATTTTCTTGCAGATCCTACGTATATTTATACACTGAGTTGTATTTATAGATTGACTGATAAACTGAAAATCAATCTATGCAACCCCCTAACGGAACATTAAGTGTTGGTTCCAATTCCTTCAAAGGTGATAATAGGATCTTTGACTAGTCTCTCTCCCTCCTTCCCTCCCTCCCAACTCTCTTTGAGGTCCTTGGTGGTCTCTGAGCTTGGTTGTTTTCTTAGAACTTAGAATAACTTTATTGTCACTTTGAATGTACACTAATTGGAACAGATTAAAATGAAATTCTGTTGCATACAGCTCTCAAAGGGTTTCCGCCTCCAATATACACTATATAAACATGACTAAATAAATAAATAAATATGCATATACCCACATATATTATATGACCCAGAGAAACAACACAGTCTAGTTCGGATATAAACATGTACATGGCGAGAAAAACAAATATGGCGAGTTTACCAAACAGATGGCATAGGGAACACAGCTGTTACAGAATCGGGTAGTCCTGCTAGAAATACTTTGAAACTTCCTCCCAGAAGGAAGCAACAGAAACAGACCATAAAGTGGGTGTGTGGGGGTCTCTAGCAATGCTTTGAGCTCTAAGCACATAGCGCTTATAAGCAGTATCCTGAATAACGGAAAGAGAGCTTCCTATAATCTTCTCAGCTGTCCTTACCACTCTCTGTAGGGACTTTCTATCTGAGGCACTGCTGCCACCAACCCAAACGGATGCAGTTTGTTGCAGATGTTTCTGCAGTGCACTAACGATGTTACCTGATTGGGCAATGAAATATTTGCAAGAAAATAACCACACTCTGAGAGCACCAAAACCCTCCATGGTTCCCTTGAAGTACAAATATTCTCTTCTTTTGGCGCCTCTCTCTTCCTTATCAACATCATGCTTTTCTTATTGTTGTTACTTTTTGCTAATATTCATACTAATACTAAACTTGGGCCAAGAGTAGAACATGGTTATTCATATTAAAAAGAGGTCACTGTCAGGCACAGGCGATCAGAACCACTTGTGGATAGGCCCGAACAGATATTTTGTTGCTGATCACCTATATTACAAGAATCTTACTAGACTGTCCCTCTTCCCTTGGGAAAAGGCTGAGAGATATAAACCTAAAGATTTGATTTTAGACCTTTCCTCCCTCAAACAGACTCTACGCTGGAATGTTTCTTTACTCCCATTGGCAGGGGGTCCCTCCCCTTCAGTCAGTGGCTCCACAACAGTCACCAAAATACAGGCTGCATCTGCACACAGTGGCCATGACCCGGTTATTGAATTAACCGGGTGAAGAAGGAGAGTGCAAAAGTTGGCGTGAAACTCAACATTAAGAAAACTAAGATCATGGCATCTGGCCTTCTCAATTCCTGGCAAATACATGGGGAAGAAATGGAGGTAGGGACAGATTTTATTTTCCTGGGCTCCAAGATCACTACAGATGGGGACTGCAGCCAAGAAATTAAAAGACGCTTGCTCCTGGGGAGGAAAGCTATGGCAAATCTAGACAGCATAGTAAAAAGCAGAGACATCACCCTGCCAACAAAAGTGCATATAGTCAAGGCTATGGCTTTCCCAGTTGCCATGTATGGCTGTGAAAGTTGGACCATAAGAAAGGCTGAGCACCAAAGAATCGAGGCCTTTGAACTCTGGTGCTGGAGAAGACTCCTGCGAGTCCCTTGGACTGCAAGGCCATCAAACTGGTCAGTCCTAGAGGAGATCAACCCTGACTGCTCTTTAGAAGGCCAGATCCTGAAGGTGAAACTCAAATACGTGGGCCGCCTAATGAGAAGGAAAGACTCACTGGAGAGGACCCTAATGCTGGGAAAGATTGAGGGCAAAAGAAGAAGGGACGGCAGAGAATGAGGTGGCTGGATGGAGGCACTGAAGCAGTCGGCATGAACTTAAATGGACTCCAGAGGATGGTAGAGAACAGGAAGGCCTGGAGGAACATTGTGAATGGGGTCGCGATGTGTCGGACACAACTTCACAACTAACAACAACTACAACAAAGGGGTCTGCACGATATCTTGCACTATGAAGTCCCATATACAGTATTAAGCAAGATTCATTTTCCATTCCTCTTGGACAGGAATGCCTTGAATGGAGCCAGGGGTACAATGCCAAAGTTTTCCAGCGATTTCCAACTTGTAGTGTTTTAAGTTAAAGTCTCCCTCCTGTCAAGCTCAGTCACTGGTTACAACAGCCATGTGGGATTATTTGGCACAATGCAGGAACTTTGCTATGGTTTTCTTTCCAGTTCAGCCACAACCTTCATGGCCTCCCAGTGAAGTACTAACCAGATTCTGCTTAGTGCTGGAACCTATTTGTAGACCAGTTAACTTGAAAGCCTCACAAGGCACCTCTGTAATCTACTTCGATTGGCTGCAACGATGCCACATTAACCACGGAGAAACTGCTCACTGGACAGCATATGGAAAACTGTCCCTGTGCATTTAAACCTAAAGCTGAAAGTGAGAGCGCACCGAAGCTAAATCCAACAGGGAGAGCAAAGCAAAAAACGTTTGACGTAGATCTATAGGAGCAAAACTTTCTTAAGGTCTTGTTTAAAAAGAGAAAGCCGACCAAGCGGAAAAGAATTCCATGGACAAAGACCTATTAGAGAAAAAGCATAAAGAAGGGCATTTTTTTTATTACATAAGAATGCCTAAACAACCTTGACAGGTACAAGAAACAAGGAGCCAGGATAGAGTTCAAAAGCACGGCAAATTTATTCCATGCAACCTATACAGTACAAGAATCTGACCTACTAACAGTCAATATGAATTGGTATCATTTTAACTAAGAGTCAATAGACTTCAAGGGAGGCTGGAGTTAGATTTCTCTTGGAGGCCTAGGTGCTGGTGATGCATTTGGGTTCACCCTGGTCATCTCCTACAAACCTCTTAAGTTTCCAAATGTGCTCATTGATTCAAATTGCCTACCCTGGTTCTTACTGTTTTGTTGCATTTCTCCCAACCTTGCAGTCCCAAAGGTGTTCTTTTCAAGAGGCAGCTGGACTTTCTGGTTTTTCTTTGAAAACATTTCACTTCTCATCCAAGAAGCTTCTTCAACTCATTCCAGTTGCCTCTTGAAAAAGCACCTTTGGGACAACCATGACCTGGATGACGGAGAATCTCTATAGACATCAACCTCCATAGACATCAACCATAGACAAAAATCCTTTACATTTTTGTCAGGCCCATACCCAAAGATGACCCAGCAAAATCCAATCCAATCCCAATCCTGTTTTTGCTTACAGCCAATGGACAGAATCTTGCCAGACTAAAGCTATAGCCTTCTAACCCATTAGATACAGTATATCCTGAGAGATTCTAGGGTGTGGCTATCTTTTTTATATATATAAAAGTTTTTTTATTTTTTAACAAACATACACAAACATACGCACAATGCATTTTTTCTGAACAGAGTATTGGCCGAGTCACAAACTTGTACAGTTTTTAGTTATCTCCCAACACAGTTTATGTATTTCACTTTTTGCCAAATATTCTTTCTCTCTAATTTTTATTTTATTTTCCTTGTTTCTTCTGATATATAGCCAATATTACCATTCCCCCTAATCTCTAATCTTAGTCAAAACTCCCCCATTGCTCCCTCAGGTTCATATTCCATCACAATCTCTCTCACACTTTCCTTTTGCTAGCTTACATGCTCCTTTGCCTCTTTGATCCATAATCTACCTTTCTAGAAAGTAAGGAGGCTTGTATCTTAAACCAAACAAACAAACAAAAAAAACTTATTGACTGAATCACATGAATGGTTAAAGAGGTGCTTCAAAAGACAGGCCATCTAAAGCCAATCAGAGTGGGACTCAAATCCAATTTCCAAGAACACATGTTTCATAGTTTGAACAAGACACAGATGAAGGTGGTGCTCTCTGGTAATCTTCATACTGTAAACAGATTTTTGAGAAGGTAAGCACCTTCAGAAGAACCTCTCTGGCAGATCCAACAGGTTCACAATGATAGATGTAGTCCTTCTCATTGATTTAGTTTTTTTCAATTATGCATTGTCTGATACATTAGTTACTAAAGACATCCTGAGCCAATCTTACTCAACCTTAGCAACTTTGACATGTATAGACGTCATCTCCCAAAATTCATCAGCTAGCATGCTTTAAGATACGTGAACTTCAACTTCTACCTGGCTGGGAAATTCTGGGAGTTGACTTCTCCACTTCTTAATGTTACTGAGGTTGAAGAAGAAGAAAAACTTCCCCTAAGGTCCTGAGAACCTAGACCCGTGATGGCAAACCTATGGCACACGTGCCACAAGTGGCGCATGCGTGTGCCGGCCAGCTGATTTTCAGTCCTGGGCCCACCAGAAGTCAGGAAACATGCTGTTTCTGGTCTCCGGAGGGTCTCTGGGGGGTTAGAAAGGCCAGTTTTTCGCTCTCCCCAGGCTCCAGAGGCTTTCTAGGAGCCGGGGGGGTGAAAACAGTCTTCCCCACCCCCCTGGAGGCCCTCCGTAGGCTGGAAATGGCCCGTTTCCTGATTTCCGGTTCCACCGGAAGTCCAGTGGCCCACCAGAAGTCCAGTGGCCCACCGTGCCATCGCGTGCCAAAAGTGGGGAGAGCATGGGGGGGTTGCGCGTGCATGCACGGGGGGTGGGGCACATAGAATTATGGGTGTGGGCACTCCCCCCACTTTTGGCACTCAATGGCAAAAAGGTTAGCCATCACTGACCTAGACGGTTAATATTCCAAGCTCTTAAATTGTCACCAGAAAGCAACCCTGATAATTT